TATATCCTCTGATATTTAAGCTTAATGGGGAGATGCAAGTAGATATATATATATATATATATATATATATATATATATATATATATATATATATATATATATATATATATATATATATATATACGTGTATTAGAAAGCATTCCTGTTTGTTTTTTTTTAAACAGTGTAAATTTACGTTTATCGGCCTGAGCAATCGAGAGCCTTACACAGAATTTGCGACTTCCGGCAGAGTTCGAACTTGCATCTCCTTGTTTGATTTTAAATAAAACTATTAACTTGATGATAGATAGATAGATAGATAGATAGATAGATAGATAGATAGATAGATAGAAGGAAGGAAGGAAGGAAAGAGAGAAATCGAAAGAGAGGAAGTTGATAGGTCAAACAAACATCATATATATATATATATATATATATATATATATATATATATATATGTTGTACATATACTGCTGCTGTTAATATGAACGTGCTCTATATAATACAGCAAAGCTATTATGTATATATTAATATAGATATTATCCTTTCCTGGGGCACTTCAGGGCGGTGTAATGGTTTGTTTGTCTCGCTAGAACAATTACGACTGAGTAGTGAGTTCGATCGTCACTTGGTGTCCCATACTTTCTGCCTTGTGCCACACTTAAGCTACGTTTGGAAGATCACCATTATCCCTCAACGATAACATGTTTCATGCACTGCGTAATCTTCAGATTCTGATTATAGACTATACTTAGCATTTGAAGGTTGCGTTATGCATATAACTCCGAGTGTTACAATCGGTGAAGGATAATATATAAATATATGTATATATACGTGTGTCTATGTGTGTGTGTGTGTGTGTGTGCGTATATAAATGGATAAATTCTCGCCATTTTATATTTTTAATTTCACGCATGCGCGTTGTTTGTTTGGGGTTTTGTCGACTGCACAGTATGACAGAGTCATTTAGCCTCCGTCTGTAAGAAAAAAAAAGGTAATTTGGAAACAGCATGCTGTAATGCTTGTCATTCGCACCGGAAGCTCCAATACGAACATTTCAAAGTATTTGAGTATCAATTTGAGGAGAGCGAAGAGGATACGGAAAGTCTTGGATGAGTTTAATGGTAATTACGAAGGTACGGTAGCTCGGAAAATTCACTCAAATCGTTCTCATAAGAAAAGAACTGCCGAATTTGTTGGTGGGGCTTTCAGACTCAATATGGAGGCCTACATCAAGTGCCTTGAGGAGGTAGGGCTGCCTTGGGTCAAGCGGGTGTCTGCTGGAAAAAATCTGTCTGGCAACAGTACTCTGCACCATGCCACTAAAGCAGACGCTTCTGAACTGACCCTGGTATGATGTGTAATCAAGATCAAATACAAACGGGCATTTGCGAAATTAAAAAATATAAAATGGCGCCACTTTACTCATCGCATCCTGTATATTTACATAGTTTGAAGAATAGGTTGACTTTATATATATATATATATATATATATATATATATATATATATATATATATATATATATATATATATATATATAAAAAATAAAATCAGTTTCACCCTTGTGGTCAGAGATACTCTAAGTTATATATTTATTTAAGCTTTACAAAGTACTAAACTTTTTATATTAGTTAGCACTTAGTAATGCATAGTGTGTTTAAATCAATATATATATATATATATATATATATATATATATACATATATATACACATACGTATATATATATATACATACATATATGTAGATACACACACACACACACACATACATATATATATATATATATATATATATATATATATATATACACGCATACATATATATGCGTGTGTGTGTGCGTGTGTGTGTGAGAGAATATCGGTTATTTTCGGTTTGCTGTGTTTGTCCTGAAGTCGACTGAATCGAAATAATTTCGCTGAGTAAATGGTTGGTTCCTGTTTATAGTATTTTTCTGAAGGACATTTTATAGGATTATTTGTTATTTTTTTTCTAGAAGATTCTATAATGTACATGTGCACTCATTATTTTAGGATGTAATTTTTTTAGAAATTTATGAATCTGAATAATCAGTAACCAGGAATCAAAGCATGCTTGACTGAAAATCCAAATCTGGCCATTGTATATATAGGATATATTCGCGACCGCTTATTATCAATAGCTTTCAATGCTCATTTCATTGAAATATGTCCTTTCTAACATCGAATATCAACTGATACAGCAATTTTTGCCATAAATAATTCATAGTAGCACAAATAGCATTTAGAATCCAGAAGTGCACCAAGCCTTTATTTAACCTGCTTGGGTGACGTACAGTAGTCAGTCGGTTTGATATACGCATATATAAATATATATATATATATATATATATATATATATATATATATATATATATATATATATATAAAGGTATATAGATATATAGATAAGTATATAGATAGATAGATAGATAGATAAGTTATATAGATGACGTATATAGATATATAGTATATACAGATAAGTTATATAGATTATATATATAGATACATAAGTATATAGATATATATAGATAAGGAATATATAGATAGATAGATAGATAGATAGATAGATAGATAGATAGATAGATAGATAGATAGATAAGGTATGTAGATAAAATATATAGATAGATATATAGATAGATGAGGTATATAGATATATAGATAGATAAGTTATATAGGTATATATGATAGATAGATAGATAGATAGATAGATAGATAGATAGATAGATAGATAGATAGATAGATAGATAAGGAAATGTAATAGTGGGCAAGACTAGGCAATAAATAGGCGCATAATAAATTATACTAAAACAAATTTAAGCTCACACGTATTATTATTAGAATTTGAGGACTTTGACGGTGTGTAATAGTTAGCAAGTTTGTCTCGCTAGATCGAATGCTACTGTGAGATCGATATTCCCTGGGTGTTCCACGCTTTCAATCTTGTGTCACATCTAAGCTACGCTTAGAATATCGCAGGTTCTTCAAAGTGATGCAGTGATTAGCAAACTTGTCTTGCTAGATCAATTATGATTGAATAGTGAGTTCGATCCTCACTGGGTGCCCCATGCTTTCGGCCTTGTACTACACCTAAGCTACGCTTAGATAATAAGCATATTATTATTGCGTGAAAGCCCAACACTCCGTGTTATGTTGAAAATTGATGAAACACAGTATCATGATGTATATATATATATATATATATATATATATATATATATATATATATATATATATATATATATAACACCCTCGAGCGTTTAGCCTTGGGGCGGGTAGAGTGGAGATCAACGTGTTTTAGTGGACTCTGCAGTTTTCAATCTGCTAGCCTGAATCGCCTTCAAGAAGCGAGAGCAAGATATAAAAGGTCAGCCAATCTAAGACTGACTTCATCCCACAATCTTGCACCATATCTGGCATCCTTTGCAAATCACTTGAGGGTCTTTAGTGCCACGTAAGATTATCGCACACAATTCATAACTGAATCAATTGGTTAAGTTGTCAGATCCTCATACGTCGACACCGATGTGAGAGTCCATTATCTATATATATATATATATATATATATATATATATATATATATATATATATAATTGTATCCTAAACAAGGCAACAATGATACTATAACGTATTGGGGGGGTAACAGGGAGTGAAAAAGAATGAGAAGTCTTCAATGAGAAGTGAGTATAGGATAATAAAGGAACAGGTTTCAAGGCATACGATGCCTGCTGAATTTAAATTTCTTAAGATTGTATGCGGCAGACAAGAAAGAAATGGGAAAGGAGTTCCACAGGCGAGAAGTAAATGACGTACATGCATTACTGCAAATATAGTAATCCTCCTTCTCCTCCTCCCCTTCCTCCCCTTCCTCCTCCTCCCCCTCCTCCTCTTGCTCTACTTGATCTGATCGTTGGCTAAGAAATTTATTGAGGAAATTTGACATTTAAAAAATTTGACAAATGGAAAATGTTTCACAGAAAATATAAATTTTTTAAATTTCTTAAAAACTTTGTTGGGATTCTGTCCTATTTTAAACACACACACACATATATATATATATATATATATATATATATATATATATATATATATATATATATATATATATACTAATAGTAATACTCGTTTGGAAAAAACCTCAACTTGTAGATATGACAAAACAAATCGGTAACCGATGAAAAAAATTGGAAATAAAAAAGAAAGAACTAAAAACATCCGAACATATGTGTGTGTGTTTGTCTTTTTTTGTGTGTGTGTGTGTGTAACTCTCATTACAACGCGTTATCCATAACATCACCAGCACATTCAAGCTTACAGCACTTGGTATTCTCAAGAGGGTGGCCATCTAGGTACAGATCTGCCTCGACGTTGCTTAACTTTGGTGATCGGGAGAATTGACGTTTTAACGTTATCTAGCTGTAAGCGTGACACAAAACAAAGAAATTTGAAATTAGATATTTTATGAATGTCATATGACTTTTTGTTGGGTTTAGTGTGATCATTTTGGGGTACTATCCTCGTACCTTCTTTCTGCATCTGTCGTCGAAATCTTCATGGTCACCTCATTTGTATAGATTCTCCCCATTCATCTTATTATATCCCCTATCAGCTATTTTTCCTTGTCTACTGACCTTTAAGAAGCCGTCATTGCTGGACAACATGAAGGGGTGTAAATTGTTAGCAACGGTGCACCGTATGAGTGACGCAAGAATGAAACGTTTAGGAGGACAAGCGAACCCAACCGAGACCACATGAAGTCAGCCCACACGGACTATCGAATCGGACTATTCCACACATTCCCGGTTTAATGCGTGAAGCGTCCGGTGATGTGTCCGGTGTCGTGATGTTGACAGGCGTAGTCTGCTGAATATCCTGTTCCTATATCCCATGAAAGTTAAAGACCTGCTGAATATGCGTTCAGAAACTCCAACATTTGAGGTAATGCGATTTGAGCCAGTCGGTTAGCACACTAGGCACTTCTGGAACCATGGTCTACCACTATGCCGTCCAAGGTAGACATTAATACAACTGTTTCCGTTTCTTTATCTGGACCAAGGTATATAACTTTTTTTAAACTTACATAGACAGGTATTAAATTCTTGAGTACCAGGAATCCAACTATTTTTAATCACATCACCCCAAGCAAGGCAGTAAAGCTACTAAGATACAAGGGGTTACTGAGTGTCGAAGTAGAAGAAAAAAAGCGAAGAATAGAAGAACAATGAAGAAGACAGTAGATAGATGAACATTTGCATTTAAATTTATGAAGATCATAGTTAACTGGAGAACACGAAGTCGGAAGAAATGTCCACAAACAAGAAGTGCGAGAAAAGAAACTGTTAGCATAGAAATTACGGCTACGTCTAGCCAATTCAACTCTGAATTGATGAGACCTTGTCGCCAATCTAGTACTGCGATTAAATTTATAATGTCTAGGTACCATAGCGAGAGGTCATCCGAACAATTACCATGAAAGTATTTATAGAAAAGGCACAGAGAAGCTATATTACGGCGATGGGAAAGTGACTTAAGCTGTGAGGCCAGATCAGGACCAATAATATATCGGATTCATCTCTGGATTTTATCAAAAATCTCTAAATATTCAACAGGAGCATCGGACCAGATGTGTCAGCAATATTCTAAACATGGACGAATGGTAGTCTTATAAATATGCAAGTTGGATTTCGGAGAGAAAAACTGTCTAGCACGCAGAATGTACCCATTTTTTAGCAGCAGTCCTAGCAATGGTTATATTACAGTCCTTCCATTTTATTTCAGCCGAGAATGTTAAACAAAGGCGGTAGAACGAGTCACTATCGTGGGGGTTAGCATTAGCCATATAGATGGGAGGTAGGAAGGTATCTTTCAGTTGATTAATAGACAGAAATTTCTTTTTAGAATGCTTTAACCACATATTCATGCATCACATATTTATGTATTTCGATCTCTCTTTTCAACCCTTATCTCTATTTCAAAAGATTTATCTTTTCCTTTCGTTCTTTCTTTCTTTCTTCATTTCTTTATTTCTCTTTCTTTATTTCTCTTTATTTATTTCCCTCCCTATCTTTCTCTCTTTCTCAACATATGTCACTATTTTTTTTCTTTCTTGCTTGCTTTTTTCTTTTCTATCTCTCTCATTTTGTTTCTTCTCTCGCTCTCTTTGAACTTATCATTATTTTAAAACTATAACTATCCTTGTCTTTTTTGTTTATTTGTTTCGTTTTGACTCTTTCGCCTTCTCTGCAACTTACGCCATTTTATGAATCTGCCTTCTCTGTTTGCGTTATTTTTTTAAAACTCTTTCATTTTTTTTTTCTTTTTCTTTCTCCTTTCTCTTTCCTCGTTTTGTCTTTTATCCTATCACTCTTTATCAGCCGACTTCGCTTTATACTGTTTTTCTTTCATAGACTAGTTCTTTTTCTCTTTCCCTTTCCCTCTTCTCTTTCTCTCTTTCACTCCTCCTCTCTTTCACTCCTCCTCTCTTTCACTCCTCCTCTCGTTCACTCCTCCTCTTTTTCACTCCTCCTCTCTTTCACTCCGCCTCTCTTTCACTCTTTCTCACTTTGACTCTTTCTCTTCAGAGATTTTTTTTAAACTTTTTACATCACCTCTCTTTTTTCTATCATAATCTTTGCATTTTTCTCTCGCATTTCTTTTTCTTTTTCCTTTTCTCCTATCACTCCTCTCGCACATACTGTTTCCCCCCACCCTCTGTGTTGTTTTCTTCTTTCTTTATCTTTCCTTCTCTTTCCTTCCAGCTTACCATTTCCCTACGGCCAAAATCAGACATCCAAATATTTTTGGCAACTATCGTTGTCTCGTATAAGAATATCTGGACAAGCCAAATAAATATTGTCCACTGGCGCCGGTGGGGAAATATCAGCTGAAAACGAAAGTTCTGTCCGATTTCATTACAAATGAAGATACTTATACTTATAGAAATATCTAATCATTGATATAACCTCCATTGCTTCCTATGACCTTATTTCGTCTGCGAACACGTTTATAGGTGCCACTTGGTAAAATTCTACAGGAGTTGATGTAAAATACGTGACCTACCCATGTCGAACCTCTTCTCTTGATGTAAACCTTAGGCTTGGTTCTGTAAAGCTCTAAGCAAGTCATAATCAAAAAGAAACGTTGGGAATATATGGAGGATGAAACAATTTTTCCTAACCGAGTACCTCTAGGAAATCTTGAGTAAATTGTTGACTATGAAGGCGGGTATTAACGTGATGGAGAATTACTTCTTTTTCTGTTGGATATGGATGGCCGTCGTTTCTGTTCAAAGCCGTTTTAATACGATGAAGTTGTTGGCAGTATAGACCAGCTTTCATTTTCTCATGTCTAACAGTTCATAATGGATTAATCCTTGAATATCCCACCATACACTTTGAATGACGTCCTCCTCTCTGTTGTCCCATTGATCCACGGATGAGAGCAATTAATAATTATGGTAAAGGATCCATTTCTCATCACCAGTAACAATCCACTTGAAAAAAGGTCACTTCAAATTGAGTAAGGAATGATTCGCAACAATCTAGCGAACTCGCTCCACCCCCCCCCCAAAAAAAATTCAGTTAGTTATGTGCCATGCGTGATACATGCTTAGGCGATCATGTATCTTTCGATATATGACTGACGAGGCAGATTTTTTTCTCGCAGTAGGTTGCCATTAGAAGAAGAGGACTCATACCTTTCCTAAGGTTATTAGCACGTCAGGCTGTTAGTTTATGCCATACGTGATACACGCTTAGGCGATCATGTATCTTTCGATACATAACTGACGAGGCAGACTTTCCTGAAGTAGGTTGCCATTTCTTTCTGCAGTAGACCAGTTGCCATTTAAGGCTACAGAACCCGGTCTGTCCTACTATTTAACCATAGCTGGTCGGGGTGGGGGGGAGAAGAAGAGGATTCATACCTTTTCCAAGGGTCTGTCTATACGAAACGTCGAAACGTTGTGATATATATGGCGACGAAGATGAGGACGATAGTCCGAATAATGTAAATAATGTTTTCCAAGGGTATTAGCATGTAAGTGGATGTAATAGATTCGACTGGAATTCGAACTCTGACCTCCTTTTCTTCAATTCGAGATTCTATCAAGAAAGTATAAAAATACATTTTTATATAAAGAAAACACCAACAATACATATTTATATAAATCGATACCAAATTAAATAAAATTACCAACAATACTTGTTTATAGTATATATTTATTTGAAGCCATAAAATTGTTTTCAAAATATTTAGGTTTCAGCATTAAATAACCCATAGAGGTGTTGATATGCTACAACCAACCAACTTTCTGAAACTAAGAGAGTAAAATTTATTTAATGTGTTCTTTAGTTGGTACGTACATAGGGACAAATTTCGAACTATATTTTGAATGATATTCTTATAATCTGGTAAAAAGAAAGAAATTATTTATAGTAGTATAACTAAAAAACATCAAGAGGGAATGCTTCTCTTTTTCTATGCGCCGTGTCCCTTCAGGACGTTGACGATGAAGGCTCTCCGCAACTTCCTCTCTATTGTAGCTCTTAATAAACTGTCTTTTGCTTGTCCCTCTTAAACATTGTTCCGCCATCCATTTATTTAAGCTTGCTAGTTAAGTTTTCTTCTGTCCCTCTTGAATTCAATCCGACCTGTGAGTATCAAATTTTCCAAACCTTCTTTCCTCATTTCCGAGAAATTACAACTACCTCTTCTTGATGCTAAGTATAAGTTTCCTTTTTGTTTCCATTTTCTCAATAATGCTCATATTTTCAAACCCTGTGTATTTTCAGCATCCTTCTGTTGAACTCCATTTCTGTTGCTTCAAGTCTCTTTTTCATCTTCGAGAACATTTTACCCAGCATTCACTGCCATATAGGAGGACTGATATTACGTAACAGTTCAGTTTTTAACGATATTTTTCTGTTTCTTAATACTGTGCTTAGCTTTTGAAAAGCATATTTCGCTATCCTTACGTGCCTTCTGATTTTAGTTTCGAACTTTCCGTTTTTTTTTGTTTTTTTTTGTTTAGACACTTCCTAGATATAATTACACTGTTGTGCTGGTTGGATTTTGGAATCTCCAATTTGTAATTTTCCATTGGATAACACTTTTTAAAAAGTTTGTCCAACATTTTCACCTTAAAAATCGGACAAAAATTCCGTTGCTTTCCACTATCAGGACATTGGCGACCATGCCTCTCCACAATTTCCTGTCTTCTTGTCTTTTTGCCATCTCCCCCAAAACAATCTATTCGCTCAAGCTTACTATGTACGTTGTGTGTCGCTTTTCTCCGTCTCTCTTCAGCATGTCTTGTGAGTATCAAATTTTCCAAGACGTCTTTTCTCATTATGTGCCCCAGAAATTTCAACTTTCTCTTCGTGATGTTAAGTATAAGTGTCCTTTTTTTCCCTCTAGAACTTCATCGTTCGTTACATGTTCAGTCAGAGGTATTCTCATCATCCTTTTGTCTAACCATATTTCAGTTACTTCATCACGCCATTGCTATATAGGAGGACTGATACTACATAAGATTTCAGTACTCTTTTCTTTGTTTCATTTTTAATCATATTTTTCTGTTTCTTAATACTTTACTGAATTTCTGGAAGGCATATTTGGCTATTCCAATGGGACTTCGGATTTCGGTGTCGCACTTTCTGTCAGCATTACCAATATAATAATAAAAAAAAAGCTACATAAATTTAAAAGGAAAGGAAACTGAGATGAAATAAATACATTGAGTCAATAGCTTCGTCCACCACAAAGAAAGTTGATTCCCTGTGCCGTACCAGGAAATTTTTCTCGCTGGAGCCCCTTCTCAAGGTTCTTGATAAAATGCAGAGACGGATATGCAATGTAATTGGCCCTGATCTGGCATCTCGTTTGCAGTCGCTCTCTCACAGAGGTGCCGTCGCCTCCCTCTGTCTTTTTTTTACAAATACTTTCATGGTAACTGTTCCAATGAGCTGCTTTCACTGGTTCCCAGACTTCATGAATTTAAGCGTTCTACTAGGCTGGCATCTCGCTTACACCCTTTCACTGTCGAAACTGTTAAATGTAGCCGTCTCTTCTACTCTAATAGCTTCATGTCTCGCACCTTTCTTGTTTCCCTGATAGCTATGATCTCCAACTATTCAAATGTAATGTCAATCGACATCTCCAGATGCCTTGATCTATCCCCTATCCTTCTCTTCATCCTTTTCTCTATCATTCCTATTTTCTCTCGCTTCAACTCTCTGTAACCCCTTGCGTGCTAGTGGCTTCCCGCCTTCTATAGGGTGAAATGCTTAAAAAAAATACAAGTAAAAAGAAATGCTTCTTCTGCGAACTGTCATGGCTATAATATAGCTTAGTGATATTTTAAATCGGACATTAATTGCAGTAGCAATGGTTATAATTGGTATATTTAATTGATAATGACAACAAGGACGATAGTTATGAAGAAGGCTGAACATCCCAGTAGAAATGATACTAACTTTTGTGAATTAAAATAATTGTTCCGATTAATAGTCAGATGAAGTCTGCCAATGACGCTAATGCTGATAGAGACAAGTATGGACGACAATGTAGAATATTCAAAATTGTGGCCTGAGTGAAACAAATGAAAATTACGGTAGACATCGGTGCTGGAAATTGAATTATGAAATCATATTGTCGAGACATGATGCCCTTCACATTGGTAAGAATGTCTGTTCTTCAGGGATACAAATAATTTAAATTCTTCAACAATAATTCCCCATTAAGATCGTAATATATCTTCTTTTTAAAGACAAATTTTCATAGACCTGCACAAAAAACACTTATAAAATATATATCCATGATAAATGAATATGTTCTTTCCAGATAAAATTTATATTGTGTACATCTATCTATCTATCTATCTATCTATCTATCTATATTCATATATATTTATATATATGTTCATATCTATCAATATCCATATATTTGCTTACACACTAAGTCTGTTCATATCTATCTATCTATCTATCTATCTAAGTCTGTTCATATCTATCTATACATCTATCTATCTCAGTTTGTTTATATCTATCTATCTATCTATCTATCTATCTATCTATCTATCTTTCTATCTATCTCAGTCTGTTCATATCTATCTACACATCAATCTATTTCAGTCTGTTTCTATCTATCTATCTATCTATCTATCTATCTATCTATCTATCTATCTATCTATCTAAGTCTGTTCATATCTATCTATACATCTATCTATCTCAGTTTGTTTATATCTATCTATCTATCTATCTATCTATCTCAGTCTGTTTCTTTCTATCTATCTATCTATCTATCTATCTATCTAACTCAGTCTGTTCATATCTATCTATACATCTATCTATCTCAGTCTGTGCATATCTATATCATTGTGTTTATAACATTGGTATAACGGAAACTGGAAGAGTAGTCCTCATGGTCTTCATAAGATGTGTGCTATGGAGAAAATTCGACTAATGGAACATAAACTTTGTTCAAGATAAATTCAATATTCGCCAAATCGTAATTTGAGAAGCCCGTGTCTTTCTTGCGTGATGGAGGTAGAAAGGATCAACACAGGCTTATTCCATCGAAAAAAAGGTGTACCATTTATATAGAAACATAAACTATGTATACCAAACAAAGTGTTTGGTGGAAGAAGATTAATTGAATGTTTTTTTCTTCTTCTTCAGAAGTAAATGGCGCCTTTCAGCTGATAGAAGACAAAGTTGATGGTTCTTGCATCTTGATAGATTTTGGAGCTTGACCCTCAATGGTGTACCAAGACCTTGATGTTACAAAGATATTTGGATCCATCAACAGGACAAAGGTCTTAAGCATACAGTTAAAATATTATTTTTTTTTAACTATAGGCCGACAACCGTTGTTAGAATTTGATTAATCATTCTCGTGAACTGAAACGGCCATAAACAATAAACTAAAAACTCAAGTTCAAAAGCGGAGTCCAAACAATTTACATTTCTTGGCGGGGGGGATATCAGTTCATGCAGATATTACGTGATTGTATTTTGTATAATTTCACCCCAAGCAAGGCGGGAATGCCACTAGTACGCAGGGTGTTTAAGGGAGTGAACGTGAGAGAAAAAAAAAACTGAGTGTAATGGAGGATTGAAGAAAGGACAAAATATGAACGGGATTCAAGAAGATAGATGACGATTGTTGTTGCATTTAAAGTTTTGAAGATTGTAGTTAACAGGGAAGCAAGAAATCGGAAGGAAGTTCAACAGGTGGGAAGTGCGAGAAAAGAAAATGTTGGAGTAGAACTGGCGGTTGTATTTGGCTATTTCAACAGTCAAAATGTGGGATCTATATGTCAATCTAGTAGCACTCTTAAATTCATGTAGTCGGACATCAGAGGAAAAAAAGCTCGTTAGAGCAGTTGCCATGAAAATATTTGTAGAAAAGACAGAGAGAAGCCACGTTACGTCGGTGAGAAAGTGACTGAAGTCGAGATGCCAGGTCAGGATCGATTACATTACAGATCTTTCTTTAGATTTTGTCAAGAGCCTAGAGATAAATAGCAGGAGCATTTATGAATATGTTTTAATTAATTTTAACTTCCAGAAAAAAATAGCCCTATCTTTTTTTTATAAATTGATATCCATGTTTAGGATCTACAATAAAAGATATAATTCTTAGATACCTCCGAGACAGCTGAAAAGCTCTGCCCCACATCATGAGGAAAGAAGACCTGGAGAATCTAACACCTACAGGATATATTGAAAGAAAGTGAACCAAGAGGAAACACTATTTAAGCTATTTAGCGAGGTTGAGTGAATAGATTGCAGAAGAAGGAAAAAGAAGGATGTTACTCAGGGGAGAAAAAAAAGGAAGTTGTGGAGAGCCTTAATCGCTTTTAAAGGAACATGAATGAAGATGTGAAATTTCTATTTGTCGATTTCTTAATCTCGCTTCTCTCATTAACAGTTACTCAGAGCGATAAAAGAAAGAAAGTTGTGGAGAGCCTTAATCGTCTTTAAAGGAACATGAATGAACTCGTGAAATGTCTATCTGTGGATCTGTTAATCTCGCTTCTCACATTAAAAGTTAATCAGAGCGATAAAAGAAAGGAAATTGTGGAGAGCCATAATGAGAACGAGAAATATCTACCTGTCGATCTCCTCTCCCTCTGCTACTCTCATTAGCTAAATATTTATTTCTCTGCATCTTCTCACTGTATCCGCTCACCTTTGCCAGTTTCTAAATATCTCTATCTATAAAGGCAGGATGTGTGTGTGTGTGTGTGTGTGTGTGTGTGTGTGTGTGTGTGTGTGTGTGTGTGTGTGTGTGTGTGTGTGTGTTTGTGTGTGTGTGTGTGTGTGTAACGAACGAATGCATGGCCACAATTTTCGACGAAATTTTACATGCACATACTCCAAGTTAGCGGGAAGGCCGACTTTCCATTTCCCAACTGCCATCGATAGTGGAAATAATCGATTTGTTTATGCTTCTACGGCAGTTTTCATGTAGTTTGCGGCCATTTTCTACTGGCCAGAGTGAGAGCCTATAGCTGGCTGCCATGAATAGGCAGGAAGATTCTATTAGCCAGCGTGAGAGCCAACAGCTGACTGACACGAATATTAACTAGCATGCTAGCATGCAAAAAAAATCGATAGCTGCATTGGTCACAAGTGGGAAAAATTTAAATCTGCATGGCACTTTACTCCAATTGGCCCATTTGCTTGCTTAAACTCAACGTTGATTCTGATTCCGCAGAACTGGGTTGGGTGTAAAAAAGTATTTGTTGTTAACATTCTTTTTTCATTCGGTTTTTCCAGTTACGAGTACTTTTCTTAATGCTGATCATTTTGTGTTCATTTTGTTTAGTTCTTTTTTCGTAACAGATTTAATGTTTCGTATAGAGCTTAGAAAAAATTCGCAGTGTGAGATAGGCAAGAAGTAAGGCATGTAGCAACATCAGCACGGCAAAGGACACTCCTTTAAAGAAAAGGAAGGGTAAAAATATTTTTTAAGTCAAGTGATAGCGATTGCTGTATGAGTCGTACGATTTTTGAATCAAGCACGGGCAACGCCGGGTCATGCTGCTAGTCTCTATATAAGTGAAACTTTCATGAATCATAATTATTCGAACACCGATACAAAGTCAGGCATACATGTTTCGATACACATAAAATCAATTCAACTATTTTAAGGCAGATCTCATATCCCATGCATACACGCAAGAAAATGGCGCGCCCCAACACACGATTCTTACGAGGAGCAAGCCGAAAGATAAAAGATCATCAAATGCACACAAACGTTGTACATGCACAAGTTGATATTCTGTGTTCATTTAGTGACGCACGACGATTTACCATTCTTCAAACAGAAGAGGAATTCTATCTTCTACTTGTCCTTGCACAATTACCAATAATTAAAAAAAAAAAAGAGGGAAAAGAGAAGAGGACAAACAATCATGCCAATTAAAAATTACTCGGCCATTCTCTTAACAGTTTAAAATCTCTCTCAACGATTAACCGTAACGAATAGTTTGCACAGGCATCGACCTTTACTTGTAGAGGCGAAGAGATCTTTTGATAAAACGAAAATATTCTGATATCTCATTGTCGGTCGACATTTAAGTATACACAGGACAAGCAGACTAGAACGGGCAGACGAAAATGGAAGAAAGCATAATAAATAAAAAAAAATGATATATTAGGTTGGTGCAAAAATAATGACGTAATAATGTCGTTTTTTGACGTATTTTTAACGTCAAAAACGACATTCTTACGTCATTATTTTTGCACCAACCAAATAGGAAAGGTACGTGTATGATATCGAAATGTGCTATGCGTTAATCAGTCAGTCAACGATATCTATGAAGTCATGGGTTCGATCCTGGTATGTTGCTCAGTTCGTGTAACTGTTTGTCAAAATCGGCCAAGCTCAGTAACTATCTAAAGCAAATTTTGATAGTTAAGAAACGCGATATTTACGCTCAGAATGGTGTCGGAAAGAGCAAGACAAATTCAGGAGGACGTGAATCTGTGTTTTATAGATTACACAAAAGCGTTCGATAAGGTACGCCACAAAGTTCTGTTGGAACAGTTCAACAACGTTGAAAAATGGGGGAAGGATATTAGAATAATCAAGAACATATACTGGCAGTAAACTACCTGCATACGGATAAAAAAATGAGTTCAGCAGATTTACAAAATTCCTAAGGGGCGTAAGAATAAGGCTTGTGTCTTCTCATCGGACTTATTCTACCTAAACAGCGAAGTGATTCTATAAAGTCCTATCAGGATTCATTATTGGTGGCCACAATCTGAATAACATAAGGTATCTAGATGACACAGTGTTGATAGCAGACAAAGAAAGAAAACAAAAAAAACCCTACAGAAGGTAGTGAAAGAAATCGAGATCAAAGGATTAAACATAAGTTGCAAGAAGACATAATCCATGCTTGTAAACAAGAAGATAAGCCCAAAAGGCGAACTGAAAATTGGAGATACCAAAAAGACGGAATGTGTGACACTGAAATCCGAAGGTGTAATTAGATAGGCAAAGAAGCATCTTTAATAACATAAATATGTAGATGACACAGTTGTGGTAGCAGACATCATTTAATATTATTGCCTTTCATTTTTTTTTACTTGAATTGCCTTTCATTATTTACTAGGATCGCCTTTCATCTTTTTAAGGATAATGCCTTTCCTCCTTTTTATTAGTCTTGCTTTTCCTCTTTTCAAATACTGTTATCTTTTTGGATCGTACTGACTGTCATATTTTACTAGTATTACTTTCCACCCTTTTTAATAGTATTGCCTTTTTTCTATTCGACTAGTATCCCCTTTCATCTTTATGAATAATTTTGCCTTTCATCGTTTTGAATAGTATTGTCTTTCATCTTTTTATTAGTATAGTTTGTCACCTTTTAGACGTGTATTGCCTTTTATTTTTTACTAGGATTGCTTTTCAACTTTTTGACTAGTTTGGCCTTACATTTTAACGTATTCCTTTTCATCTTCTTAATACGTTGAATTTCACAATTTTAATGGCATTTCATCTTTTCGAATATTATTTCTTTTCAACTTTTTGTTTATTGTTGCCTTCAATTTGAACTAATATTGACTTTCATCTTTTTGAATTGCATTGCTTTCATTTCTTTTTTAACTAGTATTGCCTTTCATCATTTATAATAGTATTGCTTTCTATCTTTTTAAATAGTATTACCTTCCATACTTTTAATACTACTACCTCTATTTCTCTTTTTTTATTAGTATTCTTTCATCTTTTTGAATAGTAATACCTTCCATTTTGTTTACTCGTATTGTCTTTTATCTTAACTACTGTAGGCTTTTATTCTACTAGTAGCAATAGATTGGGATTTAATTGAAAAAAAAAGCATCAAATTCAGAATTAATATTACTTTCATCTTATTTTGTTGATTTTGTTGCAGTTCCAAGTTTACTTTTCTATGATCATTACAATGTTGTCATCTCCAAACTGGTGACAATCGTTAGCTGATCAGATCTGACTAGAATAAGAGTTCGTAAAGTCAGATATCACAAGATTTTGCCGATACCAGCCAACGTGCTGTCTCCAACCGGCAAAATAGACTGACGAATAGGCTCCACATATCCAAGAGGAAAGAAACACTTTTCTTGTAAAAAAAAGACAAAAAAAAAGATCTAACTACGTTATTCCAATGTGCCATATCAGTTGAAGATGTGACCGATTAGTGCCCTCCACAACTTCCGCTTCTTGTAATTCTAAGCAGCGTTTGATTCGTGTGCATATTTTATGTGCAACATCACTGCTATCCTTTCATATAAACTAAACTCAATGTTTCTCTCCTTCCTTCAATAGGACCTCAGGGTGTTGAAGTTTTCAAGCCCTCCTTCCTTCAATAGGACCTCCGTGTGTTGATGTTTTCAAGCCGTTCTTCCAACAATAGGCCCTCGGGATGTTGAAGTTTTCAAGCCCTCCTTCCTTCAATAGGGCCTCCTGGGGTTGAAGTTATCAAGCCATCCTTCCTTTAATAGGTCCTCCGGGTGTTGAAGTTTTCAATCCCTCCTTCCTTCAATAGGGCCTCCTGGTGTTGATGTTTTCAAGCCGTTCTTCCAACAATAGGCCCTCGGGGTTTTGAAGTTTTCAAGCCATCCTTCCTTCAATAGAACCTCCGGGTGTTGATGTTTTCAAGCCATCCTTCCTTCAATAGGACCTATGGGTGTTGAAGTTTTCAAGCCCTCCTTCCTTCAATAGGGCCTCCTGGTGTTGAAGTTATCAAGCCATCCTTCCTTTAATAGGTCCTCCGGGTGTTTGAAGTTTTCAAGCCCACCTTACTTCAATAGGGCCTCCTGGTGTTAAAGATTTTTCAAGCCCTCCTTCCTTCAATAGGGCCTCATGGTGTTGAAGTTATCAAGCCATCCTTCCTTTAATAGGTCCTCCGGGTGTTGAAGTTTTCAAGCCCACCTTACTTCAATAGGGCCTCCTGGTGTTAAAGTTTTCAAGCCCTCCTTCCTTCAATAGGGCCTCAAGGTGTTGAAGTTATCAAGCCATCCTTCCTTTAATAGGTCCTCCGGGTGTTGAAGTTTTCAAGCCCACCTTACTTCAATAGGGCCTCCTGGTGTTAAAGTTTTCAAGCCTTCCTTCCTTCAATAGGGCCTCAAGGTGTTGAAGTTATCAAGCCATCCTTCCTTTAATAGGTCCTCCGGGTGTTGAAGTTTTCAAGCCCACCTTACTTCAATAGGGCCTCCTGGTGTTGAAGTTTTCAAGCCCTCCTTCCTTCAATAGGGCCTCAAGGTGTTGAAGTTATCAAGCCATCCTTCTTTTAATATTTCCTCCGGGTGTTGAAGTTTTCAAGCCCACCTTACTTCAATAGGGCCTCCTGGTGTTAAAGTTTTCAAGCCCTCCTTCCTTCAATAGGGCCTCAAGGTGTTGAAGTTATCAAGCCATCCTTCCTTTAATAGGTCCTCCGGGTGTTGAAGTTTTCAAGATCTCCTTCCTTCAATAGTACCTCCGTGTGTTGATGTTTTCAAGCCCTCTGTCCTTCAATAGGACCTCTGGGTTTTGAGGTTTTCAAGCTCTTCTTCCCTCAATAGGACCTGCGGTTGTTGAAGTTTTCAAGCCCACCTTCCTTTAATAGGACCACCCGGTGTTGAAGTTTTCACACCATCCTTCCTTCAATAGGACCGGGTGTTGAAGTTTTCAATCCCTCCTTCCTTCGATAGGACTTCCTGGTGTTGAAGTTTTAAAGCCCTCCTTTTTTTCAATAAGACCTCTTCGTGTTGAAGTTTTCATGCCCTCCTTACTTCAATAGGGCCTCTTTGTGTTGAATTTTTCAAGCCCTCCATGATCATTATACTTACCCCAAATTTCATATGACTCTTTCAGATTTTATTCATTAGTATATTTTAGTTGACATTTCACTCGTCTATACACGCAAGCAAATGTTGCTTACTTCTTGTTACCTTCTGCCCTTCTTTTTTTCTTTCTTTCTTTCTTTCTTCTCTCTATGTGCCATATCCTTTCAGCAACTAGATGATTATGGCTCTCCTTCTCCCTCTATCCCTTGCATCCCCAGACCACGTTCTGTCTTCCACTTGCTTAAGGCCGCTAGGTATGTCATGCGTTGTTTTCCCTTGTGTCTCTTTCTATTGGATAACACTTTTTAAAAAGTTTGTCCAACATTTTCACCTTAAAAATCGGACAAAAATTCGACCCGTGAGTATCAAATTCTCCAGGCTCTCCTTCCTCATTATGTGTCCCCGAAACTTCAGCTGCCTTTTCCTGATGTTAAGTATAGACCTCCTGTCTGTTTGCATCCTCTCTAAGTCCTAATCTTTGCTCACACGCCCGATCCATGATATCCTTAGCATCCTTCTGTAGAACCACATTTCCATCGCCTCGAATTTCTTCTTCATCTTTGAGGAAATCGTCCAACATTCCTTACTTGAATTTATTCGGTGAGGTTTGAATTTTCTCCTTGTTAATAATGTATCCCGTAAATTTCAAGCGGGCGTTTCAGATTTTCAATAGTATTGCTCTTTTAGTTGACTTTGCTCAGCCGTCCATTCGTACTCATTAGATTCGTCCCTTTTTCCCATTTGCATCTGTGAGTGCTAAACCATCCACGCCTTCCTCCCTCATTATGTGTACTAGAAATTTTAACTGTGCCTTTTATATTTTAAATATCAGTGCCTTTTTTTTAGTTAACCCCGCTATGCTATCCATACACAAAAACACATTAAATAGGTTCTCTCTGCTCTACTCTTCCTTCCTTCAATATATCCTGTAAGCGTTAAAATTCCCCGTCCCTCTTACATCCTAATATGTACCAGAAATTCCAATATGTTTCTGATTTTAAATGACAATCTAAGCCTATATATTTTCTATAAAATTATCCTTGTTTTTTTTTTTTGTTTTTTTGTTTTCCGCCAACACATTTCGGTAAAAATCGAATCAAATAAACCTAAAAACAAACAACTTTCACATTCACATGAGATGGCGCCACTATGTCTCCATTGAATTTTATAAAAACACTTATCATAAAAACTCCAAAATTACTTCCACGGATTAAAACAATTTTCGTTGATATACAAAGTTAACTTCTTCCAAGTAAATCCTGCAGACATGGAAAACACTTAGCAAACAACGAACATTGTAGTGTTCTTCATATATATTTTTAACGACATTTCTTATCATTAGTCATTCTCTGTTACAATGACATGTTCTCGTCACCAATGGAGATTTGTTTATTTAATGAATTTTTTTTTAACCTTTTTTTTTTTTACCTTGACTCACACGAGGCATATCACAGCGCATCAAAGGATAAATTTATGCAGACAGATAAACGTTTATCGCGCTCGCAAAGAATAAGCAATGCAGTAACAAAATAACAACTTCAGAACTGCTATAAAACAGCAGAATTCAATAAAGACGATTGAAATTTTAATAATAATAATATTTTACAAATGGTGATGGATTGAGTGGAATTTCCCAATGAACACATACAAGAAAATTGACGAAAACTGACCAGATATAGTCATAAAAGATTTCAAAAAAGAAACCTGCCAAATAATTGATATGACTTGTCAAGAATTTCAATGTTTCTAAAAGAAAGAATTTCAAAAACTATCAAGCTATAAGAACCTGTAAATCGAACAAGAAGTGGAAAACTTAAAACTACAATTATCCTTGTTGTGATAGGGTCATTGGGTGTGATAAAGAAGGATACTGAAAATAATGTGGGTAAAATCCAATGTGTCAAGTGCTGAAAAGTCATCGGATGCTTTTAAAACAATATGGCGGCAGTGCACTTGGTAATTGGGGGTGATAAAAAAGGATATCGAAGATGAGGTGGGTAAAATTTCTAGACACAGCAGCATCTCAAGTTTATAAAAGATCGCTTTGTGCGGAACAGCACATATCATCCCCAAAAACATTTTTCATCAAAACAAATCCTATTTCTCTGATCGGAATGCGTGTCAAGGGCTGAAAAGTCATCAGAGGCTTTTAACACAATATGGCGACTGTGCACTACCGTTCAGACATGTCCATGAGTAGATCGAGAAGTTTAAATGTGGCCAAACAAGCGTGATGCAAAATGAAAAAGCAGGACACCCGTCAACCGCCATCACTGACGAGAAGATTCAGCAAGCTCGAAAGATGGTAATAACGAACCGGCGATTTATGATGAATGAGTTAAAATGTTCTGTACAGTTTCGGTTCACTGCTCTTTGTTCCTCCTTTGTACACACTGGTAGCGGAGCGGCCATGTTGACACTGTAACAGCAGAAAGAAACCAGGCGTAGGCAATCTTAATCTTTGATCACGTGACCACAATAGTACTGATTATAAGCCCGCATGAGCCAGTGTGACAAACTTTAGTATGTGTTATGGCGAAAGTGCAGATTCTTTTCGACTTATCCTCGTTATCTTCTGCCGAAAACGTTTTGGCCTTTCTCAAAGTCACTCATATTTTTCCTCTAGTCCAACATTTCTAAACTGGTACGACAGAGCGTACTAATGTCACTTGAAAGGTATCCAGGTACGCCCCAGTTTAACAGAAGTTATTAATTATTTTTATATTTAAAAATCTTTATCTTTAAATGTTGATACAAACGAAACACATGGCTTCTGTATCTGTATCAAGTCTTTGTCATTTGATATTTTAAACTGGATGCTAAATTCTTTAATCTTTGCGAACGGCGTAGTTAAAACTTTCCATTTTGATTTCTCGGTAGATTTAAATCTGTCATTATCGGTATCTTTTTAAGAAAAATAGCAGATTCTTTATAAATCCCTTTAAATTTAAACGTTACTTCTATTTGTCTTTGGGAATGGCAAACCAAAATTTCATAATTTCAAATTTCATTATTAATTTCTCATTATTAAAATTTAATGTGCGCCCCAGAGTTTTACTAATTCTACAAGTGCGTCCTGAATTTGAAAAGGTTGAGAATCACTGTTCTAAACGATAGATGCAGTACCACTCAGTTGGACTGACAGGCTACAGTCAGAATAATCTCTGATCTCTGCAGCAATACGCAAATGAAACTGGATCGGAACAGCCCTTTACGCACACAAATGTATGTTTATTCCCATATTTGGCGTATTTAATCTCCCTCCATAGAAGAAATATCGTCATCCATAGTTACAGACATACACCTTGATAGGGCGAAGCAGGAAACGATGACGACACGAATGTCGTACAATAAATAGTAAATCGATAAATTTTCAATTTATTAAAGCGAATATAAATTTGACTCTGATATAATGGAATATGCGTACACCTGTGTTCCCCCTCACTGGAATATGATTGGCTGGTGTCCGTTATAAATACCGACGGACGTGTAGGCGAGTCAAAGAGCCTTAGTCTGAGATCTAAGTCTATAACGACGCCCATTGGACTACGCCATTGATCTACACTTCTTACCTGCGACTACGACGCGTACCAGTCGATTACTGCTACCGTATTCTACTTGGTTATAGTAGCCAAAACCACTTTTTACTTCGTTCAAATAAATCCCTTTCTGGGATATATCAGACTCATAATTGGTAAATCAGTCAGTTATGTGCCATGCCTGATACACGCTTAGGCGATCATGTATCTTCCGATATATGACTGACGAGGCAGAAGATTTTTTTCCGCAGTAGGTTGCCATTGCTATCTGCGGTAGACCAGTTGACATCCAAGGCTATAGAACCCGGTCTGTCCTCCTATTTACTCATAGCTGGAGCTGGGGAGAAGAAGAGGATTCATAGCTTACGCAAGGGTTTTAGAAACGTAAGTGAACGTACGTGCTAATATATTCACTTACGTGCTAATACCCTTGGAGTAATAGATAACGGCTCGGATTGAGGAATCGGAGAGCCGAGTTCGAATTCTAGTCGAATCCATTACATTCACTTACATGCTAATATCCTTGGGAAAGATATAGATCCTCTTCTTTTCCCCCTTGGTATGGGTAAGTAAGCAGGAGAGACCGGGTTCTATAGCCTTGGATGGCTACTGGTCTCCTGCAGAAAGAAATGGCGAACTAATATGGGGAAAAAATTGCTTCGTTAGAAACAGAAATATACAGGCCTAAGCGTGTATCAAGTAAAGCATATAACTGACTGAATCAATAAATAAATATCACTAAATAAAATTGACTTATAATCAATAAATGTGACATCCTATTCCTTGATTGACATATCACAGGCTTGTCAATAGACCCCGCTTGCATATAAACGAGTAATATGATTAATCATTAACATGAAAGATGATTTCATTTCAGTTTTTGTTTTTCGATTTCAGACAAGGCATAATATGTTGCGCACTTTGATTGTTTAATATATAAAACTGTCAAGCAAGGAAATTGGTTCTGCAATTAGACTCTCAAAAGGAATGATTAACGGATTAGTGCTTCGTGCCGAGGGGATTATCTGTTTCTGAAGAGGGCATACCGGAATACCATAAGTAGCGGAAACTGCCCAGCATTTGTGATATTGAGCAGCAGCCTATTCTAAAAAAAAAAAACGCCTCGTCGTTATCAGCAAACCACTTTCAGAATGGAGCAGCGCCTACACTCTCTGAAGCTGTGTCGACTGAAGCCTCTTTTACTTCAAGCAAGTTTTAGGTCTTCTTTCTTTTACAGACACTTTTTCGGTTTCTACATCAAAATGGTATTTCCGAAACTTTCTCCACAAGTCTAAAGCAGATGTCACACTAAGAGGAGGAACGAACGCAGACATTTACGCAACAACTGAATAACACAATATGGCGACACACACACACACACACACACACATATATATATATATATATATATATATATATATATATATGTCTAAATATTATACTGAGTTCTAAATAATTTGTGTTTTTGCTTATCAATTTTGTTCTTTCACAAAATAAACAACAATTACATTTCATTCAATTAAATATTCAACATTACTTCAAATTTCTTGCCACTTATTAGGCAGAACTTCGATATTTTTTGAGTGAAATTCCACGGCTTTTGATGTGAAAACTTGTTAGACAAAATCTTTACATT